ATGTGTATAAGAGACAGTATATATATATATATACATATATAGGACATTCAAATTCTGATTTCATGAAGAGGTAATTTCAGGGTTTTACTAAATTTGCCGCATTATATTTCAAAATGGTAATATCATAATCTGGAGATCATGGGTTCAAGTCCCACCCGAGAACAACTTGCGATTGTTTTTGCAATTATTTTCACACGTACTGAGTATTCAGTACATTTCCATGTCCGGTAGGGCAAAATTACACTTATAATATCAGAATTTACTTGGTCCGAATCTTTAGGTAGGTAAATACATTTTATGTTTATGATATTTGTCTCTATACTTATAAAATATCATAATTGATGATTATTGTAAACGCAGATAGTGATGAAATTGGATCAACTCAACAATTCATGACATAACTGTGTTTGTTAACCTGCCAATATATATTATATCCTCATGTCCAAAACAGGAGTGATATGACATCACTATGCCCGTATTATGGGCAAATCAAAGTTGGAACAGAGTACGGTATATGGTTTCAAATTCCCCTTAATCTTAATGCATTGGTATACACTCAGTTCTTAACATCAAAATAAGTGCCTGTTACAAACAGAACCGGAAACCTATACACATTAACAATATCAGAATCGGTAGTTAGAAAAACCTGCTTAGGCAAAACAACACTTTTTGAAAGTCAATATTATTAATGCAAATTTCTTTAAATCATGGATACAAATGATTCAATTGATTAAAAAACACGCCCATGATTTTGACAACACGATCATAATTAACTCAAAATTCATAGAAGCATTTATATAAAAATATGCTTTTATGTACAGCATATATGTACAAAACCTATACTCTTTATTGTATTGTTAAATTTTAACTTTATCCTGACACGACAGATGAGGGTTAATAAAAACAAGACAAGAATTCATTTGAGAAAATTTGTGTTTACAGAACTTATCTCTAAATTCTAATATCAAAATTCTGTTAAAATTTAAATACCATGTGTTAACATAATACGAACACACAATAACTCTGGATACCTTATAGCTGACAATGTCAACCAACTGCTTGTGATTTTCTGTGTTCTCTCTTACTGCCTAAAATCTGGCCTACGTATCAACATTTCAAAATAAAAAAAAACTATGTTCACTTTGAATCTGTAATAAAACATCTATCAACTTCTAATATTTTAATGAAAAAAAATTAACTGTTATGGTGTGATAACAGAAAATAGATGAACAGACAAACATTATATATTACTACACCACAAACTGAACCAGATGGGTCTTCATTTTATAAATTGTATTTGTTTATTTATAAAGCGCTTTTTTCCAAGGTCAAAGGATCAAAATACTTAAGCATTGCTGCTGTAATAAGCACAGGAGCAGGCAAGATACCCATTTATACTCCTAAATGGAAATAAGCAATGAAGAGTGCCTTTCTCAAGGACTCAAGCGTGAGATTAACGCATCGACTTTGAGGTTAGGTAAGCACAGCATTGCTGCTGCACCAAATCACTTCAATCAGTTGGGTTGAAAACATACATGAAATAAATTTTATCATTTTTGTCTCTTTGACATATTTACTACGTCTTATTTACCAAGTACCTATCAGCACAAAGTTTCTTTTAAAACATTTCACTAAAAAATTTAAACATAATAGAGCACAATTTGAAAAATTGATATTTTAGGATAATGTTCTTTTTCATTTATTCAATCCAGTCCCAAGAGCATGTGAAATTCTTGTGCCTTCCCATAGCATCTAATCACCATTCTAATAAATGTTACTATCTTTTGCTCCATTGCCCCATCATATACATATAAATTTATATACCTAAAATATGATCAGTAACACTATAATATAATTATACATGCACATAATACTGTTCAACTTTGGAAATATATCTGTACACAAAAGAATGTTACCAAAATCACATTTGTAATACAATAACTTTTGTTAAACCTAACTACAGTCAATTATATTTATATTTCTGGAATCATAACACAGATCTAAAGGATGCTTCTATTCCCAGAGTTTACCAGAGAGTAGAAAATGTAAAAGGTGGGTCTACAGTTGCATCCTATGAAATTAATATACTTATATTTTATCAAACATAATAATACATACAATAGGCCGAATAAAAAATAAAAAAACCATGTTTCTCATGCCTATTTATGCCATACCCCTATGTACAGCATACAGAGAGAGTTTATTGCAAAATGTGCTAAGTAATCAAATTATTATTATTACAAGCTTTTTTATTTTGGGTCAATTCAATTTTCTTTAAATTGCCATGATGCAAAACTAGAAATTGATACTGAAATTAAATCATCATAAGCAATTGGCATCCAATGCTACCTGCTATATCGCTTACATATGCAAGCAGAAAAGAGAGAGAAAATAAAAGCTTATGTATTCTTTTCAAATAACCCCAATAAGAAACACATGATTTTTATATTTTGGCCTAATAAATTAGCAACTATTTAAAAAAAAACCTATTTTTACATTATTGTCAAAAATTGTTATAAACAAAATTAAGTAGAATTCTGTAATATGTTTTGGATAAATGAGATAGTCAGGTAGTTGTATATTTGGTATACAGAGACTCAGTTCACACTTCAAGATGCTGATACAAATGATTTTAAATTAAATCGCTTTTCAAGCACTGGTGGGGCAGCATTGGAGGGGGCCAGGGAGAAATTTCCTCCATCGGACAGGCATGATCTCCTCGTCAGATTAAATTCTTAATTTGGCGAAAAATCCAAACAAAGTTATTGTGATTGCCAATCTCTAATAACATGGTCAAAGAGCACAATTTTTGGTCATCCTAACAATAAAATCTACACTCATCAACCTCACCAGAGATATTATTCCATAACCCTGACGGAGGCTCTAGACGACCCCTTGGTTTAGACCCATGACAGAGGCTCTAGACGACCCCTTGGTTTAGACCCATAACGGAGGCTCTAGACGACCACTTGGTTTAGACCCATGACAGAGGCTCTAGACGACCCCTTGGTTTAGACCCATGGCTGAGGCTCTAGACGACCACTTGGTTTAGACCCATGATGGAGGCTCTAGACGACCCCTTAGTTTAGACCCATGACGGAGGCTCTAGACAACCCCTTGGTTCAGACCCCTGTTGAAAAATTTCTGGGGTCACCACTGTTTGCAAGGTTCATCGATTAAACTTAAATTATAAACAAATGTCAAACTGATAAGATCATTACAGGCAACAGACATAAGGAGAAGGTAAGACAGTGGGCAGATGATGAAGAAAAGAGAGCAACGACAGGTGGAGACAAAAGGTAACAGACTGAAATGGGTACAGAGGGCAGGATACATTTTATCAATTAAATCAATTTCATTGTCTTTAAAAATAATTTGGATGGGTGACAAAGGATAGGTAAAATGGAGTGTTTATTCCAGCAAATCTGGTTGCTTATATCTCTAAATAATCGAGACTTAAGACAACTTAAATTTTTACTACATAAAAAGTTGATAGCAATATGTTCAAAGGCTTTTCTCCCTTCCTTTTCTAAATTCATTAGATCAGGCTAGCATCTGACATTCACCCTGTGCAGATTAATTATTCAAAATTTAGATCTCATAAAAACTTCTTTTCTTACACCATATTTTTAAAGCTGTCATACTGGAATAGACTTTAATGTTTCAGCGACTACGTGTCTTCGTGACCATTCACCTGTCTGTCAATAGCTCTCCATACTGACCTCCGAACATGTAGTTGTCATCACCAATAGGAGAATGCCTAGTAAAAAAACAAAGCCAATACAGCCATTAAAATCAAGAAGTATGTCCTATCACTACTGAATTAAATTAGGTAATAACTGCATTTCATTGCCACCTAGTAAGAGGTGCAATAGTTTTTACTTCTTTCCTGGGACTATAACACACTTGCCTACGAGTAAACTGTAACACAGATCGAAATGATGAATATAGGTAACCCCGGTTCCATTCCAACTTTTGTTTTCCATTTTCAGCTTGAGGGCTAATATGCAAATTCAATATAGCACAATACAGATAACATTATTGTCATAAAAATACCACACCAAAGTTGTGCAATATGGCCCATGAAAGTCTAAATACTTTCTTCAATTGGTCTTCTGGTAGTAAGTACAATACAGATAACATTATTGTCATAAAAATACCACACCAAAGTTGTGCAATATGGCCCATGAAAGTGTAAATACTTTCTTCAATTGGTGTTCTGGTAGTAAGTGTAAATACTTTCTTCAATTGATCTTCTGGTAGTAAGTACATACTTTCTTCAATTGGTCTTCTGGTAGTAAGTACAACAAATTAGTTACCGTATTCAATATCTTGTTGTAGAGTTAAGCAACTGACTGACAGTAGCAAAAGTTTGATACTTACTCGCTGCCGTACTCGGTTTCACGCTGCACCCTCATCATGTACTTCTTATGTTCCTGCTCAAGGACAATAACCTCATTCATGATAGCCTGTACCGTCTTGTAGCAAGACTTGTGATCCTCAATATGAATATGGGGCTCGAACTCAGGCCCTTGGTACACGCAATCAATCACACAGGAATCTGGACAAAATGTAGAAACAATGTTTATATGAGAATAGACTTTTTATTGGCCACATGTGACTTGAGATATGCCATCCCAAAACCAGCATAATAACGCTACTGTATATGTTATACTAAGTAATTAGCATTAGAATATACTTTTAATCATAACTTTGGTACTAGCAAATCGATTCTGTAAATCGATTTTGTAAACTCAATGTTCAAAGTTACAATAAAGATGATTTGATTTGATCTGATTCCTGTAAATGACCAATTAAAACTTATAATATGGAGAATATGAATCAATTGAAAAGTAAATATTAAAATTTACTGAATTTATGTCTAAGGAATGGGAAGATCTTAAAGCTTTATTAGTTTACCTGACTTACCACCCCCCCCCCAACACTAAACTGTATTGTATTGATGTACATTTATGTTCAATAAACGATGTGTTAAAAAAAAAAACCCCCAAAAAAAACCAATCTGATTTAAATAGAAATCTTTCTTTATTATGGATACTTAATCAATGTGATATTGTTCTTCCTTAAGTTCTAGTTAACAAGTTAAAACATGTTTAAAATATAAAATAATATGAAGAAATTATATACAAAATCCAATGAAAATTGGTAAACACAAGAAGCAAGAAGAAAAAGTTTTATACTAAATCAAATTTTTGAAGGAATGCAAAGTTAAAGAATTTATTGAACTGCAAGTATCTGTTCTATTTTGAAAAAACAAATTTTGTAAGGTCAATTTTCATTTTTGGGACATTGATTGTGGTTCTGGAATGGCATGCCTCATATTCACCCAAATACTTGCCAGCCTGTCATGAAGCCTGCAAAACCCTCATATAAGCAAATAACGCATTAAATTGCTTATATAAAAGATAATTTAACAACATTTATTAAAAAAAAAAGATCAAAAGAATTTTGTTTTTGCTGACTGACTTTTAACTACGAAACTCCTTGAATTATTTCCAAGTCAATTTACGTTTTCAGAAGAAAAAAAAGCAAATTTGTTTGTTATTGTACACTACTGCTGCCACATGTCATGACCTCTGAAGACCTTTAAAAAATAGAATTATTAGAAGTATCAAAATGTATTGTCTAAACAATACATAATGTATCAACACAGGCAACTTTCCTAAACACAAGAAAGACGATGTTCATAATAAATAGCCTGATATTTAATAAAAATCATTAACATTTTAATAAAATTAACAACTGAATTATTAAACTAACAACACAACAGCAACAACAAGAAAAATAAAAACTGATATTTAGAAAATAATAATCATAATTCTTAATGACTAATAATAAAAACAGTTTAATTATAAAAAATATTACAACTGAAAAATAAATCTGACAACGATCATGAAACTGCAACAAAATAACAAAACAACAACAACAACATTAATATACAATAAACCAACACAGCTCCTTGCATGTACATACAACCACAGTAACACAGATTTATACGTTAAAATATATAGCATTATTTAAAACAAAATGTACAATATTTGAAAAAGCAAAGTATTATGAAAGAAAACAAAACTCAACTACACTACTTGCAACACACAATTATACCAGTTAATAAAAAACAAACACACACTAATGGTAGTAATATAAGTAGTAACTACATCAATAATAATCTGAGGAACACAATACACTGCAACAGCCTATAGTCACAATTTTATGGCCAAAACGATGTTAAAGAACAAAAAAAGCATGGAAATTTGGCAAGCGATATATTATTGCTTAAAGGTATTTAAAATTATAATTATGTTTGCGAATCAGGGTCGGTCAGATGGCAAAATTCGAGGGTTCTGGTAGCTAAAAAACAAAATAGATTTAAACTGTTGGAAGTCGATAAACTTATTTGTTCCTAAATTCTTATAGTAGTGGGAGATCTGTCTTGCCAGCTTATTGTGTCGTCAGCTAGGAAGATGATCAAACGATCTTGATATTTTTTAGGTTATTTTACCACAATCTTAATCAATCTATAAACATGATGTTAAACTAAAAGAAAAAGATGTGTGACATGAGTTATAATAATTATCAAACCAAACAGCTTACAGAACTTATGATTGCAAAGCACACTAATTGTGTTGGCTCAGGGACACCTGAACTACTAATGGCTCAAAAGGACCATTCTGTTCACAGTATTTTAAGTTGGCTCAGGGTCGCACCAAGAATGTTCACACTTCCTCCTTTGCGCCGGGTTTCTGCATGAAATGTTATGGTATAAGATGTTAAAATGGACAACTATCAAGACGACCTTGGCCACCACGGTTTTCGTTGAGATATGATGATGAGTCGCCCAGTACTCACATTGCGGGACCTGAGCTGACTTTATAGTCAGACCAAATTGAAGTAGCCGTTGGGTAGGCTTAAAGTTTATTGATTGTTCACTCTTTAAAAAAGGCGATCCTGAACCAACGCAACTACAGTATTAAGTGTGGTTGGGCTCTATAATATTCTATACCTACAGAAACAACTGTTAAAATCAATAAATATTGATTATATATAAATATAACATTATTTTCTAGACTGAAAGACTCCATGGATCTCTATACGTATACATGCATAGATACAGCACGTATATTAAAGACATTAACAAATTTTTTATATATAAATTACTAATTTATCTAAAATCACCATGCATAAACTAAACCAATAGTATAATATAGCTCATTAAAAACATAATATTAAATGAAAGTTTTTTTAAATAATATTAAGGTCAAGACTGCAATAACAACACTGCAAGTTATATTGTTATTTATATTACATTATATAAATTTAGGTTAATTGAGCCATCGACCGGAGTCCCTGGATTTATATCCAATAATAAAAACACCAGAAAGAAGAAAGACGTACTATAAATGTTACAATAAGCACGGTGAATTTTTAAGCATTTTTGTGTTACCATACTTAATATAATTATAATAATAAAAAAACTATTTTTATATAGCGCAGAATGCTAGAAACCTCTATGCGCTTTACATTAAAAGCAAAAGTCAGATCAGAATTAAAAGAAAAGATGATAGAAAATGAGCGAAAATCTTTGTGCAATTAAATCAACAATCACAAATTTATCAAAATAATAACAGGTTAACTGGAGAGTGGCACATAATTCAAATTGTGTCATTGCTAAAATGGTAATATGTATTGTAGTACATGTACATGGCTACAGTATTTTAGTCGTTATAGCTTTACTAATTTAATTAGTGTATTTATTCAAATAAATGACCCGGGGTGTTTATTGTTGAGAAGGGATTTTTGAGGGGGCATTAATTCGAGGGAAGTGTTATTTTTTATTTATTTATTTATTTTATATACTTGAATAACACAAAAAGTTCTTTAATCTAATTTTGTATTCATTTATTAAGGAATAAAAGATAGATACAATATAATGTATCAATCATATAAAACCAAATACTCTCAAGTGCATATTTGACAGTGGCACTAGAGAGATACTTTTGAATTATTTACGGTATACTGATAATATAGGACACAAAGCAATGACAAATATCGATTACTAACAAGAAATTACTTAAACACCTAACATGCAGGCAGGCTATGGATCCATTATGTGGCTCTCAAGAACATCATTCATCTTAAAAAAACATAACATATACATCAGGGGTGGGCATAAAAATCGGTCGGAGGGCCAACATGAATTTTTTATTTAACACCGCGGGCCACAACCAAACTTTGATGTTTCCAGTGAGCTTCCAAAAACCTCCAAGCACTGCTTTTACATCACGTTATTCTCAGTTTTAATGTTACTTTTTACATATGATTGGTGTCGGACCGTAAAAAACAAGGTGTTTTCTAGACAATTTTGATTGGCGGGCCGCAAACATAGGGTTTTAAATTCATTGTCGCGGGCCGCAAACAAATCACTACAGGCCGTACAGGCCGCATGCACCCGCGGGCCGCACTTTGCCCACCTGTGATATACATCCTACATGGAAAGCACAAAAAAACATGTAAAGAAACATGCATAAGAGCAATTACAATAAGTCTGCAGTAAGAGAAATGTAGTGACACAAGATTACTGGGGGAAGCCATGCATAACAGGAATATAGTCAAACAATATTAATGGCAGAATGTGTAATCATTCTGGGATTATATAGGAATTACTTAAAACTGCATTGGGAATACGTCTTTGATTAAGAATACAGTACAAACCAGTGGCAGATCAAGGAATGTGAAATAGAAGGGGTCCAGGGAGGTACTTTGACAGTGGAGGGGCTATACCCTCAGTCAATGGAGGGGCTAATACCCTCAGTCAATGGAGGGGCTAATACCCTCACTTAATACTGCAAAACCAGGAAATTTTGTGCGCATTAAACTTTCGCGAATGGTCCTGATTCGCGAAAATCTTATGCCGCGAATAATTTTCAGGTCACATGTTCTATGTTTCAAAAAAGATCGGTAGAATACTATCTGATCCTTGTGAATCTCGAATCAGTTTCACAAAGGAGATATTGGTCATTATAAATCACTAAATTACACCAAAAATTAATTTCAAATTTTTTAAAGATGATAATGAGCAATAAACAGCAAGAATTGTTGTTAATTCAAGGCTTAAACTCGCCGACGATGATGCAATACAGATCTAGGGCAGGCCTAAATGGGGAATCCCCACAAACTGCAACATGTTCGTGAAAAGTTAACAAATTCAACATTAAAAAAATTGTATTTTAAATTATTTGGTGGATTTTATTAAATGTGTATAAACTTAATAGAATGTACAGTATTTCAATTATTATATAAATATTCTGACCTTAAATTCCGATGTTGAGCTCAAAAAATTTGTAAATTCTAGGCCTATTCTAACCTACTCAGTAAGCATACTGATCAGGGAGGTTCTGATCATCACTGCATGTGATTGCACATGTGCAACCACTGCGAGGTGTATACTAAGAAATTAAAATAGAAACTTAATTTTCGTACCTTGACATACTACGATGTTCAGTCATCATCAATTAATGTGTTTGAATCAATATAGGCCTACAGGAATAAATATTGTTCATTGTAGGATGCTTGAATACCATCCAAGTTTAGGATATCGTATGAGTGAGTATATTGTAATGTAAACTTGTGTCTTTCTTAACTGTGCCTGGGATGGCCAGCTAAGTCCTGGTCCTAGCAGCTGAGGTAGGCTGCAGGTTTATCGCGCCTAGCCTAGGCCTAGCTATTGTAGCCTAGACAGTGGTTGTAGGCCTATCCAACCTAGGCCTAGAACTCACAATACGATATTTTCAGCTATTGTATGGTATTCCACTCATGAATAAAATTTAGGCCTTTTGCGATTCACGAAAGTTTAATGTCGCGAAAACGGCGAAAGTTTCGGGTTTTACAGTATATGGTTGTGCCAGAGTGACACTCTTAGACTTAAAATTTCAATATAATTTTTTTTCCAATAAAAAAAAACAATTTTGATCAAATTAGCCTAAATTTGCCACTGAAAACATATATAAAAACTATCTTGGAATAAGATGCATAAGAATAAACAGGAAATACTGTACAGGAACGGATGTCAATTGAGAGTACATTGAGAATACAATTCATAGAAATGAACTTGTATTGAGGATGCATTTGGGATAAATAGGAATGCATTGGCCCTTGGGAAACAGTAATGGTCACTGATTGACAATGCATTGGATACTGCCAAGCACTGGAAATAACAAATAGGAATCATTTGTATTTGTGGATACAATGGTAATTCTGTAATTTTTAAGCAAACACTTAAAATAACATTTATGTGATGAAATCAAGAATTTTCTGTTAGGACTGGTCTGTCAGATACTGTAGACATGCTGTGCCGAAGGTCCCAAGGGAGGAATTGAGTTAGTGTTGTGGTCAAGACGCTTGCCTTTAAACTCCATGGTCCTGGGTTCAATTTCTGCGACAGCAAGATTTCACCACAACTAAAAACTACACTCCCTAAGCCTCATTATGAGACTATGTTTATAAAAGAATAATTGGGCTCTGTGAGAGAACAGTAAACTCCTGAAGAGGTTACCTGATATAAATATAGATAATTAAGAGAAGCTTCTGGGAACAATTTAAAACACAATACACTAAATGAAATAACTCAAAATATATTTAGAATAAGTTTAATTGCAGCTGGTTATATGCAGCTTGATCGACACAGACACCATGTTAAAGTCTTATTAAACACACTTGAAGACCAAGAATGACATTTGAACTTGAGTTTGAAAGAAGTATATAAAATTTACAAGAGACCAGAAAAGAATGCTTGATGCTATTGGTACTCATGCACAGAAAAACAGACACACAAACACATGACATATAAACTCACTGAGGTGGGTTAGACCGTGATAGATTTCCCACGCAAGGTCATCTGTAGCCAGCAGAACACCAACATAAAAAAGACAACACTGGTAAAATGTACAAACATAAATGCTTGTGGGAACACCACAGAGAACATATAGTTGTTGCTATTACCAGCAACATTTTAAGTTAGATCATAGCAGTTAGAAGCTTGAATATTTGGAAACTTTAGAGAGCCACAGCATTAATTATTATATTCTCCTACAAATTCTGCACACTATCTTATTAGTCAAGTTGAGTCTGTGTTAACTGAGATAATAGTTAGAATGATAACTATAACAATGATAACATCAATAATATAATTATAATAATAACAATAAATACAATTATATCAGTATTAATAAAAATAATGAGCATGATGATTAACTTAAACCAAATATGATTGCTTACCCCGCATCTTTTCAAGCTTGTCGATGTTTGCAAGAAACAGCGAATGTATGCGCTCCATCTCACGGTCAGAATCCACATCAACTTTCAGACAAGTTCTGCTACTAAAAAAAAGGTTGGAAACAAAAGAAACTTTTGTAAAATGTGATAAGGATAGTACATTTCACAAATTAATATTAATACCCATAAATAACTCAATCCATAATCTTGGTTCAAGTCTTGGCAAATGAAATGGTTTTTTCTCACAATCAAAAACAACTCCATTGCCCAAGCCTCATCATAGCAAGAGTTTGTGTAAGTAGAGCACTGTGTGTTTACGTTGGTGTTGTGACAAATAGAGGAATTGCCAGTGAAGTTTTTTGGCCTTTGTTCCTAAATAAGGAGAGACTTTTTAAACGGTGTTTAGCGAACCCTCTGCCCACCAATACTGATAATTTCCAATAAAAAATAAAATTTTATTTTTGCCCAATTAGTGCACCAGACGCCATAAAAAAATGGAAATTTTTCTTCATTTTTCTCATGCCCATCGCTGCCTTGAAATCTCCAAAAATAAAATATGTGTATTTTTTCATAATTATAAAAGTTTAAAACATTTAACCATCCCATTACTACACTGTTTACATTCAACAATAACATTTTATTTTTATTTTCTCCTCCATTTGGAAGCCTCTGGCAAAACCAAAAACCATTTGCTAAATAAGAAAACAAAAATTTTTTTCCCACCCTCCTTGGACGATCTTATTAAAAATAAGTTAGCGAAAGAAGGTACAAAAAAAGTCTCGGCTAAATTATAAAAAAAAATAAATAAGCACAAACACAAGCGACCCACCTGCCACTGGCTGGAGTGCAACCTTCCACTGACTCTGATTGACATTTACAACTGAACAAAAAAAGGTTAAACATGTTAAAAATATATTTTGCTTGAAACGATTCACACAAATATACAAAAACAAAATAACATGTAATAGTTATTTTTAGTAATTATGTTATTTATGTTATATGAATTTGATATCTAAAATAAATGAATGAATTACCAGTAATAGTTACATGTATGATAACATATAATTACCAGTAAATTAATTTGTCCAGCATATCAAATTATATTTTTGTATTACAATATTGGTATAAACATCAAGGACCTCAAATTTAAGTATGTTGTGCACATCAACCAGTTAAATAGTTATCTTGCATTCTATGCATTACTATTTATCTACCATCAATCTACAGTCTTGTTTCACATGAATGTACCAATCTGGTCTGGTCATGTAATAACAAGAAAATCATTCATTGAAAGCTAATATTTATGATGTAATATAATATCATGCTCATACATTAACACATTACATCATCAGCACATGGAAGGCACTGATTAACTGATTAACTGCACATATTATTTAGATTAACTGGTGAGAAATCATATGTATTTGCTTAATAATAAGGAACCTACATTCAGATATCAAACTTTAAGCAAATACTGTAAGTCATTTTATAAAAAATAACCATAAATGAAAAAAAAAAAATAAATAAATAAATAATAATAAAAATAATAACAACAACAATAAAGTACTTATTAAGTTGTAATGATGTACTGTATTTTTTGTATAATAATGCATCTTTACACATGGTGTACAGCTATAGAAAAAGTCCTTGATTAAATATCTATCACCACTGAAAAAAATGTGGTAGAGTCATGAATATTCATTAGCTTACCACATCCACTGTCCATTAATGTAGGCTGCTGGGTGGTAAGTCATGAGTCGGTCATGGTTGCTGCGGCAAATATTTGATAACACATCACCCCTACAAGAAAAAAAAATTGCGTAATGAAGGCCAACACTGATCAAACAATACTGGACAATACATACTGTACATATATATAAATCTATATTTCAATAATTTGGAAAATACTTTTTACAACTTATCATCACTTTATGATGTTTCATTGGAAAAGTGATTGTTAACTCAAAAGTTACAAACAATGTTTCAATGGATGAAATCAAAATAAAAAACTGGGATAATTTAAAAACATATTTATTGTGCGTGAATACCTACATAATTAATAACGATCATCTTCAAAGTTTAAACCATAATATTAGAACACCAGATATGTTTTGGGATTCTTGAGCCTGCATATCACTGACAAGTTTTCTAATGTTTGGCTATATGCTCGTTAATGCTATCTTTATAAAAAAAAAAATCATAAAAAATGCCAATAAATCGTATGGGGGTGTTCAAATCTATCAACCAAATGTAGAGTCAATAGATGTTTTGCCCATGTTTTTTGTTTCTGTTTATATTTCAAGTTGTCCCAATCACAAATTTGTTTTCTTATCTTGTCAGGTTTTTTGCCTTCTTCCTTTTCTTGCATTTTTCTCTTACACTTTAAAAAATGTTAATTTCTTTTATATCATTATGCGAAAAGGATGTTAATAAATGTTAATTGACATATCATGACATTTTTTATCCAATTTTAAATTGATTAAATAATCTTTTTACTGCTGATTTCTCCTTTACCATTTTAACATTTTTATTAATTTTTAACTCTCTTGGGTGTTTTAAAATATATTTCTATTTATACATGTAAGTTTTTACATATGTTTGGCATTGTTGAAAATTGGTTTGAGTGTACGCTTATAACATCATCTTGCTTTCACATGAATTTCTGTTATCTTTTATGGACAATAAAAGCTATTTTAAATCTTGAAAACAATGTTGGGCAGTGCATTCTTTGAAGTAGACTTATAGCCAAGTACGAAAGTGAATCACTCAAATTCTGGTTTACCACATTTTTTTGGATGGATCCATAACAATTGACGGACTAGTATCAATATTAAAAAAAAAAAATAAAAAAAAAATTGATTCTTTATACAGGTTGCATGACACCGGAATAATAAATAACTTGTTATAGATCAATATACTTGAGAATAAATTTTTAATGGCAAAATTATGTTGTTATTGTAGCTAATTAAATTTACAATTAGCATACTTCATTATATTTTATATACTGTAGAGTAGAAAATAATACAATAAAGGTACGAGGACTGGTGAAATTGTGTTCTCTTTGCACGAAGGTCATTAATAATAGGAAATAGTATGATAGTATAATAGAAAATAGTATGATAGTATAATAGAAAATAGTATGATAGTATAATAGAAAATAGTATGATACTATATGATCAATATATTGTCTAAAATCATAAGCCAGCCATACCATGGCATAGGCCGGAGGGGGTTGACGGACTAGCATCAATATTTAAAAAAAAAAAAAAAAAAAATAGATTCTTTATACAGGTTGCATGACACCGGAATAATAAATAACTTGTTATAGATCAATATACTTGAGAATAAATTTTTAATGGCAAAATTATGTTGTTATTGTAGCTAATTAAATTTACAATGGCTAATATATAGTTGAAAACATTAACATTAAATTGAATTGTATTATTGAATTGAATTTATACTTTTTATAATATATTAACAATATTTTGTTATCATTAGCATAATTCATTATATTTTATATAGAGTAGAAAATAATACAATAAAGGATACGAGGACTGGTGAAATTGTGTTCTCTTTGCACGAAGGTCATTAATAATAGAAAATAGTATGATACTATAATAGAAAATAGTATGATAGTATAATAGAAAATAGTATGATAGTATAATAGAAAATAGTATGATACTATATGATCAATATATTGTCTAAAATCATAAGCCAGCCATACCATGGCATAGGTCAGATGGGGTTGACGGACTAGTATCAATATTTAAAAAAAAAAAAAAAAATAGATTCTTTATACAGGTTGCATAACACCGAATAATAAATAACTAGTTATAGATCAATATACTTGATAATAAATTTTTAATGGCAAAATTATGTTGTTATTGTAGCTAATTACATTTACAATAGCTAATATATAGTTGAAAACATTAACATTAAATTGAATTGTATTATTGAATTAAATTTATACTTTTTATAATATATTAACAATATTTTATCATTAGCATATTTCATTATATTTTATATAGAGTAGAAAATAATACAATAAAGGATACGAGGACAGGTGAAATTGTGCTCTCTTTGCACGAAGGTCATAAATAATAGAAAATAGTACGATACTATAATAGAAAATAGTATGATAGTATATGATCAATATATTGTCTGAAATACCATGGCATAGGCCAGAGGGGGTGTGTGTGTGTGTGTGTGTGTGTGTGTGTGTGTGTGTGTGTGGAGGATTTTGCTGCTACATTTCCATACATTCCAGTGCTTTGATGCACACTCTACTCCTCATAACACAACTCGATGTGTTATGAACAATAATTTGCCATTTATATAATAACAACTTTATTTTATAACGGTCAAAAAACTCGTTCACCCAAGTGGGTGTTCTTCCACGAGGCCGTATGGACATTAAACAAAATAATTGTGTTAGATTAAAATAATTAAGTGTTAGTACAAAGAAAAAACAAATATATATAATACATAATAATGGTTATTACATTACTATGTTTCTTTTAAAAAGTTCTAGTCTTTTAAAAAGTTTATGTGGTTATATTGCAAGGACTATGCACTTTACATCAAATAAATGAGTTTTAAAATAATGTATTAGAAAAAAAACTGACAAAGGTGTTATGGCCAATAGTGGACAGTCTCATTGGGTTATAATCTGCTTCTGCCCGGCAACAATTTTAGACCTCTACCTAGGTAGTGCATTACCATATTATTATTGATTTAATTGTATGTACTCACCATTGCTTTTCATCTACGCTGTTGTTTGCCTGTACATACAGCACACGTTCTGGTTGTATCACTTGAAACATCTACAGATATATCAGCGCATAAAAAGGTTGAAATGTCACAAGATTAGAAATTGAAATATTGTTATTCAAAAAGAGTATCAATCTATCTAATGAATAGCTGTCAAGTAATAAATTTAATATTATCTAGAACTTATATAGGGCCATAATGCATAAGCCCACCCTTAAGCCCATTCCTTAACATTTGAGTACTGTATAAGCTTTACTTGTGCATAAGCTTACTACTTCCAAGGTTTGCAACAAAAATTCTATTATAATATTTTAGACTTTGGACTTTCGGTGTAATCACCAAGGATAGCCCACAGAAGTCTAGAAAAAGACTTATTTCCAGTGGGATCCTTCTGGTGGTGACTGGGCAGTACACCGGGAGACAATCCCTTACTCTTTTCCGAAGAGTGTACTGCGTTTTTAACATGCACATGGGTCATAAATGCACACGGGAACAACGGCTTAAACGTCTCATCCGAAAGACAGGCACCAATGGGAATTGAACCGGGGACCTAGTGATCTCCACGGCTTAGCGCACATAGTGGCTACCACAAGATTATCTGACTGAGCTAGAAGATTAGCCAACTGAGCCAACTTAAATAGTGGTTCATGCCTATAAAGCCTTAAATTATCCCACCCGCCTATGTATGCCTATATTTAAAAATGATTCTAAAAGCATAATGCGTATAAATTGTTTGGAATTTGAATGTAATATTGAAATAGGTAAATAGCAGGAGAGATAATTTGAAACTGAAAGGAAAAATGAAAACAATCTATAGAGGGCACACTGCATACAAATATCTTTGATCTTGAAACTGCTTTCTTTGCATTTTTAAATTATTGAGTTGTTGACATAAATAAATCTTGAAATGAGTGTGGTGGTGGTTGTAATTACAAACAATGGAATAGTTCTTACATATTGCATGTGGAAGGAGTCTTCCTGAACCTGTTCAACTGCAAGGATCTTATCCACAGATATAGTACACAACGGTGAACTTTCTAGCAATGTAAAAAGATGCATCATGATTAATATATACAAACAGGTATGATAGTTCTGCTGGTTGGACAGTTTGACATTACAGTACAAGTCTGTAAAATTACAATAATAAATACAGAAACTGTTCTGTACGGTTAAATGGGTCACCTTTTGTTAAATAATTTTACAAGTAAAAAAATATATGCTAGGCGGAAGGTATATAACAGTGTATGTAGGCTTTCATACTAATTCATTTGTAAGATAATCCTTAGAACCTATCCTCTTGAAAAAATAAAGCATTTGGAAACATAAACTAACATTTATTTGTTGTTTGCTATTTGGTATTTATATAGCACTTCCCTTTAGATTACAAAGTGCTTTGTTTTCCCTAGTCATTGAGTACACATGCTTAATTGTGTTACTTCCAATTTTGTTGCAGTAGCATGCAAGCCACTATGTACCCATCTGCTAAAAGAGACCAGTGAAGTGCACAGGGAGGGATTTAAGCCCCGACCTGGAGGTTTGAAACCAAATCGTTCCCCGCTGCACTAACCACTGCCACAAAGCATTACAAACAGTGAAAATTGCTTCTATTGATAGAGTTGTGATGAGAGAATACAAAACAAAGATGCTATACATCAGAACATCCACATCCTTTGAGGTATTTTTACCCACTAAAAGAGGCAAATATACATAAAATGTTCAAACACATGACGATACGAACAGAACTAAGATTTTGGAAATTGAAAACCTAAAGTCATAACACTGCCCATAAGTTTTTAGCCTTACAACAGCAGAAACATACCTGAGCCTTTAGAATATGTCAGCTCATGGTTGGTGAGGCGAAACCACCGCTTTTTGAAGTTCTTGACTGCAAATAGTTTCTTTCTTCCCTGTGCCCGCTTAATCATATACCTAGATTTAAATGAATCAAGAACCCAAAAGAGGTTTGAAATATATAGCAAAATTTACTGAGTGCAATATCCAATTATTATAAGGTTAAATAATTAATATAAAATAATAATAATTAATATGAAGTTTAATTACTTCATTTAATGAAATCGTGGTTCAGAGCACCAATAATTGGATGAGAGTGACATACTGGTGAATGAAATATAATAAAAAATAAATAAATAAAAAAATATTGACAAGAATGATGAGTAATAACTTACCCCTCTTTTAATATAATCGGAGCTTCTGGATCTTTTGCATTAGCATTACTTGATGATGACACAATATCAAGAAACTAAAAAAAGCAGTATGTTCAATTATAAACAATCAGTCACCAGAGATAAAGAAATAATGAAGAATGATGCTTCTTTTTTAAAAGCTAATGTGTAAGGTACACATACATTCTTGTAATAATAGGGATTTACAACCAATTGAACACTACTTGGTCCTAAGGTGCACTTAAATTACAGGTTTTTCTGTACCGTATCTTTATACGGAAATATATGAATGGGTAATAACAAATTTTACCTATTTGTTTACTGTGGAGTAAGTCATTGTTTATAGCGCTGGTTATACTGTTATTCTTGGCCTTTGGATTTATAAACTGGCACAAAGTAAAACCTCCAATTCCAGGAGGGGAGCTATAATCATTAATGCGCACAGACCAATACAATTACAGCCACGTCCTACCAGGCACCATAGGTGAAGACAAACGTAAAGTGCCTACCAGATACACACAGACAACCATAGGCAAAGTGCCTTGCCCAAAAACACAAGCAATATGCACAGGGAAGTTACAAAAAACTGACCTCCCAGTTGAGGGACCAAAATGAAATCGATGAGCCAACTGCTACAACATACAGGTCTTCCTCCAATTAAAGACCAGTAGGGACAAAGTTTTTCAGTCTTTAGCAGCTTTGTTCTTTAATCAGAAAAATATTGATAAAGAAAAAAGTTTGACGTTCATCTGGGGCTAGAGAAAAGTGGTTGTTACTTAGAGGTCTTTAATTGGAGGGGTCTTTAATTGGAGGTGGTTCTAAATTGGTCATTAATAGCGGGATTTAGCGATGATTGTTTACAGGCGGTCACGTGACCTAACTTGAGTACACATGAAAAACATTATAGTGCGATAGCATAAGAAAAGATAATGTTATGGTTGCGAAAACAACCACCCACTGTTAACGTCAGAAGTAAATGGCTAGGAAAGGCAATACGTTCAAAATAGTATTTATTTACTTATCCTAGCATTCTCCTTGGACTGTATGCTTTAAAATTCAAGTGATCCTTCATAAACCTTAGTTGTCCCTAACTTCGCAGCATAGTTTGCGGGTCGAAGACCATCATGCATACCTTACCATGCCGTAGATGTGCAGGGGCCAAGGCCTAACATTTTGTCGAAAGATCTCAATGTTCCAGTATCCATTACAGAATTAGTAAAACATTAAGGCAAAATTCTTAAGTTTAATTTCCTATCAATGATAATGATATAATTATGATCTTTACAGCAATAAACAAGGGACAGCCGCGATAAAAATCTTCATGTAAAACATCGCTGTGTCAGTGGATTTTTTATATACAACACCCAAGTTAGGTAACGTGACGTCCATCGCCAAAATCCCTCTATTGGAGGTGGTCATTAATTGCAGGGAGAGCTGTAGTTCATCATGAGCCATGCTACCTGTCATTGATCACTTACCCTTCTGATTCCAGTCACATGCTCAGCATCTAAGATAGAGTCATATAAAGGAACCATGTACGACTCTTTTTTAACGCATGTGGGACTCTAGAAAATTCAAACAAAACAGGTTTTATTCATAGATACTGTATAAGAAGTAAAAATGTTGTTGCTGTTACATCCACAAGCAAATAACACAATAACAAAAGCATATGCATATTATTAATAGTTTTTAATGCTTGTGGTACTCCATGTAGAATGGCCCTATAACTGTTATACAGTATCAAGTCATTTTGAAAAGCATCAACAGTGTGTATGCCAGTATTTAACATTGTTATTTTTGACAGGCAAAACTTCCAGTTATCTTTGGCTGATACAACATGGTACTTTAATAACAAGTGTGGACATATTATTACATTATTATTAATGCAAATTAAACAGAAGCAGGAAGTTATTTTGTGCATATCATGAGCTCAACAATCTAAAGATAAACAAGTGCTGTGTTTGTAAGAAATATTGAATTTACAATTGTAAAGCTTTTCATTTCCATAGTATATTTTAGGTGGATTTTGTAATCAAGTATAGATTAGCTGATGTACATTTGATTTAAGTTGTAAGGTATAGTAGCTTATCTGTACATATTATTTATGACCTTTGACAATAATCTTTTATCTATTTACAAGTTTGAAGAAGCAACTTGTTATTCCATGACATCTTATCTTACTAAAACTGTGAACAAATAACTAGAATTTCAAAACTGTATATTTTTTACTGTGTTTGACAATAAAGATGAAATTGAATTTAAAGACTGTATATATAAATACATGTATATATGTACATAATTATATATATAATTACATACATACATATCACTAAATATACAATTATAAGGAAAAAATTGTTAGACTAGACAATAGAAACCGAAGCTTTGCACTTACCACTACCTCTTTCTTAACATGATTTCCTAATGTCTGTATTGCTTTCGATATGAGGGTTAACGTCCGGGCTACAAGCGTATCCTGGAAAAAAAAAAAATAACTAAATCATCAGCATCAGTTATACATAATTCAAAAATATCTTAAAAGTTTCATTTAACATAAATTTTTTGTAAATGGGTCGTTCACATTCAACAATGATTTCTTGTCAATTTTGGGGCATCCATTTCTCATATTTGAATATAATTTTTTCTTAAAGCCAGAATGATATGTCCTACAAATGAACTTTGTAAGCCAGTGGATGGGTCATGCCTCTTTTCCAACCAGTTAAAAAAAAATCATATTAATCATTCCTGAGTTTTTCGTCAGACACTTCTTCCATGTCTAAGAAAATTCTTTTGTCTAACAATCCAATTTTTTTTGCTTCCACAGTCAGGGTTCAACATTAACGTTTTTCTAAATTATATTGTTAAAAGTACAATTTCTTGGGTTTAGCATCTTTGGACTGGAAATTAAAGGAAAATTTATAAAGATAAAAAATATAGGTGTTTATCCATGGCCACAGAAAAGTGTTATAAATTTGGAGGTGATCTTCACTAAGAAGTAAGTGTCTCTAAGTAAAGGAAGACCTTTTAACTTAGCAATTTAATGTTTTAAATGAAATTGTATTGTATTGTATGGTGTATTTTTTCCAGACAGTATATACTTTTCAATGTGGAAAAGTGTATAAATAGCAAGAACTAGTAAAGACAGAACTAGTAAAGACAGACACAACAATTATACTAAGATTTCCAGGACCAACTTTTCGATTTTACTGATCCTACGGAAACATGTCTTTTTTTTAAAATCCAGATTTACACAATCAAACTCTGCTAACATACAAATCTTAATCCTCCTCTATCATTCAAACATCACTGTTCAGATCATTTATTCAGAAATGTTGATTATTGGATACGGAACGGTCGTGAGTTTTCCTAAAATTGAATACTGGTGCAATATAAATGCTCATTATTATGATTACCATTGGCCAATGGCATGTGGACTTCCAAACACAAGGAATCAAGAGCTTAGTTGGCATTTCCTTAACCTAGTGCAATATAGGAAAACTTTAATTCCGACTCAATACCTTCCAACAGGATCTGTGTTTCAAGAAGGCCAAATAAAGTGTGATGACCATGGCTCACTACAGTGTCATCAACAACAATAGAACTTAATAATATATTATTATTTCCATTGTTAATTTCATATTATCATTATTATAATTATTATCATAATTATTGCTTTTAAAAATGAATATTAAAAATAATGACAATAATAAAAATAATGACAGCAATAATAATATTTAATGACAATAATAACAGAAATCATAATATATATTATTTTTCCCCTTATGTAATTAACAATCAAGAACTTATCTTACTGGATTATCTTTCCTAAGCTTGAAGAGTCTGGGTGAAAGAATGGCGGGAGCGAAGAAACGCAAGAAAACAAACCCGCTTACTGCTGAATACTTAACATCAGGATTATCTGTCAAGTCAATAACAATCAATCTGCCAATCAGAATCAATCGATTACATAAACCATGAATCATAATCATCAACATTATCAGCTGACATACCTACTTTAAAAAATATCCACACAGGATTTATATATTTATTTATTATAAATTCAACACATCAACAATTAAATACAAAAATTATAAATAACATACAATCTTATACAAAAAAATATAGCTTAATGATGTGTCTAGAGAGGATAATGCGCTGTAAGCCTGACACCTACATTAATTCTCTCTAAACCGATAACCTGAAAAAATACATTAAAATACATGTAGAAAATTCATAACAGATTTTTTTTTGGTATAAATTTATATATAAATATTTGATATGATGTTATGAAATAAGTTACAGAATATAATAACATAAAATAAAATTATTATATTTAAACTTTATTTTCGATGCGAAACATAGCAAAACATGTGTAAAAATAATTGGATTAAAAAAAAAATTTTTTTAAAGGTAAAAAAAATAGTTTTTTAAAAGGTGTATTTACATACTGGGAAAGTGGCTTTTTGCTTCTTCTTTTAAAGCATAGAACACTTTGCACATCCCACGTGGACACGCCATCGCAGAGTTAACGATTGACATAAAGATCTTTTCAACATAATCTTTCAGTTTTACCTGATTATTAGACAAAAATAAGAGATCAATAGTTAAAGACACCTAACCATAAATTATCAAATACAAATTAATAATATGAACACTTATACAACACATAATCCACCACAATGAAAGAGAATAATAATATGAACACTTATACAGTAGAACCTCGTTTTTACGTACCCCAGTTATATGAACCCTCGGTTTTACGTACGCCTCGTATCGACGATGACGTCATCAAAAACCAAGAAAATATTCAAAACACACGGCTCTTTTCAGAGCAACCATAAGTAAAAAGACTATAACAATAAACTATAACAATAAACAAACCATAATGCAACATATTTTCATTGTGAAAGTTCGGTTAGCAGGTAACAAATTAAGATTAAATGTTAAAAAAACAGAATATATGATTCTAGGAACTCCTCAAAAATTAAATAAGCTGACTAACATGGATATAAACATTAATATAGATGAATCTGTGAATGTTGTTATTCATCCAGTAAGTGTTAAAATACAATTTTAAATTAATATAGATGGTTCAAAACTACAAAAAGTCAATCAATGTAAGCATTTAGGTGTCATTATTGATGACAATTTGAAGTGGCATAAACAAATTTAGCATTAAAAAATAAAGTACTATCTCATCTGGAATCTACTACCTAAAAAAATGCAGTGAAATTTTCCACCAAAATATCCAAATAATAATGTTTAAATCGATCATTTCCCACCATTTTGACTATTGCAATGTTGTCTGGGGTCGTTGTAACCAAACACTTAGAAATAAACTCCAAGTACTACAAAATAAAGCAGCAAAAATAATAACTCAAAAGTCCAAATACGATTCCAGTTCACAGGCAGGTTCAAGAGACTTAAGTTGGCCAAATTTAGAAAAAAAACAGTATATCAATGAAGCTGTAACAATGTATAAGATAATGAATAATTTAGCACCATCTTACTTAAGAAACCGGTTTCACAAACGTGAACATATATATGAAACAAGGTCAAATGACATTTTACGCTTACATAAACCAAAGACTGAATATAAAAAAAGAAGCTTTTCATATCATGGGGCAGAAATCTGGAATAAACTAAATAATTTAAATAATTTTGGAACAACTGCTGAATATGTATTCCAATATGTTTGTATGTGTTTTTTGTTTTTTTAATTTCAGTTTTATCACTTCATTCTTATCTTCTTGTAAAAACGGCCTTGTGAAAAACACCAATATGGTGATAGAAGTTTTCTCCGTTTTAAAATAAAGTTGTTATTATTATTATTATTATAATGCTTTTGTCACTGTAAGATTTTAAAGACTGCTTTGCAGTATTATCAAGAGTACATATTACCCAGCATGTTGTGATGTTTTGTAAAATGACAATACTAACTTATAGTTATAAGTTTAAATGAATACTAAATACTGTATTTGTCCACCATTATAAAATATAAAAATCGAAATATGTTCGAAAATATTACTGAAAAATTATTTTAAAAAAATCTAGGGAACAATTTAATTTAAAATATGTTAGAACCTTGCAACATTGTAGAAAGTCAGAAAAGCAAGCATGTGCAATGATCTTTTTGTGTAAAATTTCATTTGTTGGACAAATATCATTTTTTTAAATACATCTGAACTACTTACAAGGTTATCAGCTAATACTTCGCCATCACGTAGCTTGGTGGGATCAATTTCACAGGACCGATGATCATCATGGATCTCGTCGATGTTTACTTTCAACGTGTCATGCAAGTAATGCATACCCTCCAGCTTCATATACTCGTCAATACACTTCGTTCCTAAAGAATTGCCCCTGAATATTGTATTTGCATCCCTGTGTGGAAAAAAAAAATTACTTGACTGATGTTTACACTATGATGATAAAAAGCTAAAATAAAAAGCAATTGTTCATAAAGAAACCAAACACGATTCAATAACGATTTCTTGTGTATTTTTGAATATATTTTATCGTATACACGACAAATCGCTATTGAATCGAGCTAGTGTGAAAACTTCTCTTTTTCTTTTACTTTCTGTATGAACAATTGCTTTTTAGCTTTCTATCATTGATTGTTATCGTTATAGTATACACAGGCTTTTGCAACAGAAATTTGCATCACAGAAATTCAAGAACAGCTATAATATGTTAGTCTTATATAGTGCTTAATTCCAACAAGGCCTCTAAGCTCTTCACATTATTATAATGGAACATGTATTCCATCATAGGTTTTCTTAGGAAATAACTGATATTGATAACTATGGGTGTGCAGTAAGCAAGTAGTCAGATCGAAAATGTCAAATATCAGTGTAGTACCACCAGCAAAATAACTTGCCTCCCGCGATAAAGAACATTATATATTAATTGCTTCAAAAAGAATCTTAAATTGCATTCATTACAAGAAACCATAATTCATATGTATTCAAATGTAAGTTTTGCTGTCTATCAATGCATTTTATTAACAGTTATTATTTTTAAAATCAAATGTACTTCTCGTTTATATTGTTTAGATTTTCTGTTTGTTATTTACATTATTGTCGAATGCTGTTTTGTTTATGACATCCCTGTTACAAGCATGTTGCTTTCTAGGTGATGCCACCATGTTCGTTGTTTTTTTTAAAGGAAATAAATGTTATGAAACGTTATGAATCAGAATCAGAAGTATGGGTACCCTTGGAAACGTTTCATCACTAATAACAGATGATCACAGAAAACCACACACTACAAAACTGTTATTGAAATGTATGCATTACATTGAATAACTGATTCCACAGTGAATAACTCTTTTACAGTAGTGGTATAAAAATGGTCAGTTTTATAAATAATAAATTTTAAACTTACGATGTTTGTGCAATCTCGTGCTTTGCCAGCGCTTTTGTGAACTCTGTAAGTTGGTCATGGTGGTAGAATAACCTAACAAGAGGGCGTGCGGCATCAATACGTTCCCTCACAACTTGACCTAAAATATACGCACCACTTGAGGATGTCGGCTGAATAAGAATTCAAGAGTCACCATGAGTACTTAGTTTTTCAAAAGGAAAAATGTGCATCCAGTATATAAACATTGTACTAGTAATTAATTTTAAGAGAGCAGATTTTAACAGGGTTGATAATAACGTCCCATTCTACGTTTCAAGGATTTCCTAAAGAAAGACTTAGTGAACTTTCAAATTTCCACTTCATCATCGCCACAGTTGGCTAAAACTGACCTGGTTGGAGATCAATGCTTCAAAATGGGATGAGTCATGACCACCACTACACTGATCGAAAGATGAGGGAGAACAACAAGAAACAACAGACAAGCCCAAATACAAGAATTTCTTCATGTTCAAAAATAGACAAACTGATACATAACTAAATAGTATGTTTTAGTAATTGTCAATTAAAAGTAAAAACTTTTAAAATAAATACAATAAAATAAATAAATATATTAAAAGATGTCTCTGATGGATATCGTCTAAATTTTTACATTGTCATTCGTGACAGACGTCTGCAACATCATCAACACCTTAAAAATTACATTTAAAATTGGGATCAATGTTTGTCAGTGAAGAAAATAGTGTCCGGTTGAATCCTTTTTGCAACGATATCAACAGAGTAGTATCACATGGTATCGTGACGTAACACTGTAGTACTCTATGATAATATGAAATTAATATGAAAATATGATGACTATTTTTATACTTGAATGTTTTAAGTATTATTGTACTGTTAAGTGTTACCAGGAGAGCCATGTGATAGTAACTTGTGGGCAATCTGGCCAGTCAGCCATACACTTTTTATCGACTAGAATATCAAATAACTTACTGACACTTCTGGTGATTTTAAAATGATATCCCTGAGAGTGTTGTAGTAACTGGATGGAAAAACCTGATCTTCTAAATAATTAATTCGTACACGGAGAGAACCCATGTCCGTCTTTTGTGGCCGGTTTACACTGTTTTCCCTTGGTTTCAAAAAATACCTGAAAAATAAAAGAACATAATAGACACCCAATGCAAACAGCGTGCTAACATTCTTTTCTTTTTTTGCAAGAGTCTGGGAACTTCCATCTGTATTCAGTGCAATAATACGTCAGGTGGGGCAAAATATTATTTCTATTAAAATTACACAAGCCATTCAGGAAATTCAACTGATCCATTACTGCTCAGCAAGAATATCCAGACTGTTTTCTACAGCATAGCCAAAAATTCAATCGCACATTTAATGAGCCAAAAATTCAAATATGAGCCAAGGTCAAGCTTTCGAACGAATGGCGAATAGCATTAAGCTGGGTTGTCAGTAAGATCGCATATTGATTACAGTAGCAGCAGCAACAATAACAACTAAAACAAACTCTCAAACAACAAACTCTCATCCTTATAACAAAAACTAAACTAAACAACAACAGAAACAAGTACTTACCATGCTTTGTGTGTAGCTGTGGACATATCTATTGCACTTAATGGAATCTTAACTTCACCGATGAATACCTCCCCAATATGTGCGGAACTTGAATTATTCCATACACTAATCCTGAAAAGTAATGCAATATAAAATTAGGCATTACACATACAAATATACTGTGCTGGGCTGATAAACTTGAACAAAACAATTCTGTTTGAACTGGATAAAAACACATCAATTTTAAATGGTACTGAGATCAAAAACAATTCAGATTTTGCTGCTTTACAACCATCTATGAAACAAATAATTAAATCTGGTTTTGGATATTTAGAAGTTTTAAAAATGATAATACAAAAAAATATTTATGTAACAGCATTAGCTAAGAAGTAAAACTATTATATGACAAATCAAATTTACTTATTTATGAAAATCTCTCAATATTATATCGGTCTCCTATTCTGCCTTTAAAAATTGCGGAGTCTGATAATATTTGTCATGCATAATTTAATTATAAAATATTTATAAAAATATGCAATAAGCTAAGAACAGGTTAATTTGTTCATTAGTAATAACATAACTTCTTACTTGAGTTCAATTTTTGTAATATCTTCTTCAATTGGACTAAAATTGTACCTATCTCCATGAGAATTTGAATGTTTCACCAGCTGAAAAAAACAACAAATACTTTTGTTTAAATATTCTATTGCAACTGTCCAGTAACCTAAAACAAGGCCCTAGGCCACTGAAGGCAAATAGTTAATCCAAGTTAAAAGAAAATATTTGATACAAAATTAAAAATTAGTATGATGAAAACAAATCTAGTGTTAAAAAAACAAACATTATTTTTTTTTTTACTCCTCCATAGATCTGAAAACTGCCGATGTCCCTCAGGAACAACAGAAAATCGTCCTCCATTCCTGGTAAGAATGATCAGATTCCTTTGTTCTATGCTTCCCCAAATCACTCTTGCTCATGATCATAAACTGAACTCATTTGCTTCAAAGTGACTAATATTAACTATCACCTGTAAACTGGGTAAGCGGCCTACCCAAGAGCAAAGTCCTTGCACTTTCTCTCCTGTTTTGTATTATCAATTTCTGTATACATTTACTGAACTATTTTAAGCAGATATTCTTTGACAGTAAAATAGTATTGAACTTGAAACAAAAATATAAAAAATGAACATTGTTCAAATTTAAAGCTCTCAGACTTTGAGATGTACTGCACATGTGTAAAGCACTGTCCACACTATCACATTTGATGTGACATGCCAAAATATGGTCATGATGACATCACATCATGACCATATATAGGCACATCATGACCATATATAGGCACATCATGACCATATATAGGCACATCATGACCATATATAGGCACATCATGACCATATATAGGCACATCATGACTATATATGGGCACATCATGACTATATATAGGCACATCATGACCATATATAGGCACAACATGACTATATATAGGCACATCATGACTATATATTGGCACATCATGACTATATATGGGCATACAACAATTTTTTTGTCAAATAAAATGTGTAGTGTGGACAAAGCATAAACACTGATTTACAGTTTAAACAAAATACATTTCAGTAAAACAAAAATGTATCCTTTAAAGCTGAATTTTAAACACTGGACAATCGTAAAAAAATTATGGTATTACTGTACTGTATGCAACCCCCCCCCCCCCCCCCCCCCCCCCCCCACACCCAAAAAACCAGCTTTTTATTGACAGAACACTGATAATACAGGCTAAAAAAACAGAGAAATATATAAAAATTACCGCTATTAATATTCTGCTTCAGCAAGTAAGGTGAGAGTGCAAAGTTAAAAAATACAATGAATAAAAAAAAAATGGAGTGACAAAAAAAAAGACAAGGTGGTTATGAGAAACTAATGTACTTTTTTACCCTGCCTAATCAAGTGTGGGATATGTATCTTCTGGGAAACTGGTGTATTTGTTCATAACATGAGTCTTATTTACATCTTGTGTTTTGATAAAGCCTTATCTCATTTCCTGTATAGGGTCATTCCATGTCAAATCACCCAAAAAATCTGAAAATTTTAACCACATATTTTTTGATTTTGATGAAACTTGGTGTACTTGTTTAGTGTGATCTCACAGCATCAAATCTCAAATTTTAGGTCAATCGGTTGAGGGGTTTGGGAGCTGTCTCTTATACACATCTAGATGTGTATAAGAGACAGGTATACATACTACTTCTATTAGATAATTTCTGGATATTTATTTTCTAAACTTAAATTAAAATAATCTTAAATATCACCCACAATATATTTCTAGTTGGTTTCAATTTGCACTTATTTTAGCCATAATTCAAACATTTCTATCAGATAATTTCTGATAATTTAAACAAACCATCGTTCCACATGATCTATCTTTACATCTCATTCAACAGGATACTGTTTCATAAATCAGCCCATGAACTTTTTTTCATTCTACTTCATTCCTCACAAAGTTAAAATTTTCTTTATTGCAATCATTCACTTTTAATTGGTTTAAGCCGAAGGCCAAGGAAATACCAAGCAGCATCACTATTCAAAGTGGCATATCCCTTCACAAGACAAACATAAACACAAGGTGAGGCTTAGGGAGTGTTTTGGTTGTGAAAAAAATAATCTTGTTACCATGACAGAAATTGAACCCAGGACCCTGGGATTGGAAGGCAAGCATCTTAACTACCAAGCTATTCAAATCGATGTAATCGGTGGTAATCCAAAAACTGATTATTCCCGAACGAAAACAACGAGCGCATTCAGACCAAATCACACTTTATATTGGAAATGGTCAAACCACGGTAAAACGATACCAGTAGGCCTAGGCCTCCAGTGGCTAGGCCTATGTTGACTGACCTCAGGCAATCAGTGCCTGTGGAATTTTTTGCGATTGGATTCACACGAATGTGAATTGAAATTGGGGGCCATTTGGTGTCGCAATTGCTGCAACCGAATGCAATGCGATGCTAGTCTTGAAATACCCCAGCTTGAGAGCTTAATCACTTTAGTTGTAGAACATTAAAAAGTGAAAATATTCTATTCTTTAGGTAAAGATAAATATTAAACATTAAATCATTATTTATTGTTGTTTACATTTGTACAGTCAATGAATTGAGACGTTTCTATGCTTCAAAAAAATACTAACATGTAATATATTTTAAGTTTATTACCTCAAATAAGAATGTTTCATCATACTGCGGATGATCAGATTTGCGTTTTATTTTAGTTTTCTTAGTTTCTGTCCTGAAATGTAAAAATTATATGGCACTGTTAAAATAATTAAACCAACGAAATATTGAAGTGTGAAGAATGCCTTTGAAATGCCCTAGGAATGACCTTTGAACTTGCTAATTGCCATGATGACAGGTATTCTTTCTAGGTCCAATCCAAGTATAACTTGTACGATTGTATATTAAAATGATTTTGTATTCAGAGTCTATTTCGTGAATACTTACCTAGATAAACCGATAAATGCCTAAGTTTCCTTTGAAACTTACCTCTCAAGCATAAAAGAAAAACATATTTCTTATATTAACCAAAAAAACATTTCTAAATTATATGTTTAGTAAGCCTTTTCTTTAAGATTTGATTTTCGTGAGTATTTCTTACCGTGTTGGTGAACAAAACGTCACCGTAGCAAAGGTATCACAGTGTCTGTTAACAATTGTTAAGTTACTGCCTTCAATTACCCTGAAATAATACACAATTTAACATATTATATTTCTTATTTTAAAATGTGAATTAAAATTAAATATTTGTTACAAAATTTGGCAAACCAGTGTTTGTTAACAATTTTTAAGTTAATGTCTTCAATTACCCTGACATAATATAGAATTTAACATACTATATTTCCTACCCCAAAATGTGAAATAAAATTAATTATTTGTTAAAATATTGTAAAATTTGCAAAAAAATACTGAAATACAGACATTTAAGAAATATTTAAATATTCGGTCAGAATAAAATAGATACGCTCAGTAAAAAAAAAAAGGTTAAACTATAAAAATCCCTTATTATTATATAATTTTATATTATTATTAGCTAATAATATGAGGTCCTAATTGTTAAAAACGATTTTTAATGCAAAAAGTGGGGAAAATAACAACATAGCATGATGTATATAAACTTTGACATTCAAACATGTTTGGCCAGAAACATAATTCATGAGGATTGACTGGTTTGGATTGCCTTTGCAACATTTTAATCTGTGAAGTGAGAAAAACATAAATTCTTGTTTTAAATTTTAATTGACAGCTAAGAGACTGACTACTGTACATTAAATTAATTTACTAGCTCAGCACAATCCTTAATTAAGCTTGAATAATTAAATTATTTACTAAATTAAATAATTTAATAAATTTTAATGCACCTTAAGACAATTTATTGATTGCAAAGGATGCCACAGTACTATAAACGTGTGACGGTATGTGTTAACAGTAACTGGACAAACGCTGTTTGTTTGTTTTGTTTTTTTTCTCACACAAATACATACATTAAAAAAACTTGAAAAGAAATAAGAATTTTAAACATTAAAGTGTTGACATTTGTAAATATTCTTATTCTACACATTATAAGCTTTAAAATGATGGGCCACTTGCTTACTTTTGACAAAGTATGAGTAAAAGTATTACAGCTTCTCTGCACTAAAGTAAACAATACTGCCACATTCTGGTGCTAATTACTCAGTTTAACATTTAGCAACAGTACATTGGTTTCTGAATGGCAACCTCATATGATATTGTAATTAGCCAATGTTGTTTTCAAGGAGCCCAATATCTTACCATTATTCACATAGTGATGATACGGGACTACACAGGGTATTTCTAAACAGTGCAAACCTCCCACAAATCTCCCTTACATCATCCTAAACAATTGATAATTAGCGGCCCCAAAAACTTGATGCACCAACCTATGAGATGGACATGCGCTTTCAAATTCAAGAAACACATCACCAAGCTTGATATTTTGTTGCATTTTAAACTGAATTACAATAGGCCTACTTTAATTCTAAGCCCACCTTTGGGACCTGCGAATTCAGGGTGTTCTCAGTGTCCAGCCTCTATCTGGATGGTACAGTACAGATTGAAGGCTGCTAGTAAGTACTTTGAAAAAATGGTCTCTAATTAGAGTGATATCAACATTAGAGAAACTTTGAATTAATGGGCGAACTGTATACAAAAAGAGACAGATACTACTGGCCCTTTGGTTGGATAATATTCATAATCTAGTGTTATCAAACCTTGCATACTAAAACCAACAATGTTTAGCAGTGAAAAACGCTTTTAAAATAAAAAAAATGTTGGTATATAACTGTTTTTGATCTCAGCACATCAGAGGTTGATACACAATGTTCCTGCCAGGGGGGACATAGTTTACATATAATAAACAATGAGAACATTGTATTCGGCAAAAATATTGTGTGCAGGTTATTAGAGGAAGCATGATAAAATATGATTGGCTTAGAGGAAGCATGACATAATCTGATTGGCTTAGAGGGAGCATGTGAAGTTCACCAACCTGACAGCAACTTTGTTTACTGATGTTCCATTATCTCCTATCAAGGTTTCCCCACACCTTACTTCCACATGAACTTTACCCTACAAAGAGAACAAACAACACCCATTCATAATAATACTATAAATATGTATATTGCTAAAATTTTTAATTTTAATAGTTAAAAGTTGTAATATATAATTTTTTTTCTTTAAAAAAAATTAAAATGAAGTTTGAATAAAATTTATTCTATAAATTATTTTTAAATATAAATCTTACAAAATGTACTTTTAAATTAAATATTAGGTATGTTTCGCATGCAACAAGTCGGCATTGCATTATAAGGCGCGATCTCCAAATTATCCCAGACGGCAGAAACGCGTCTAGGTCAACACCCTATCACAAACGCATCTGAGAAATCAACCATTCTAATTACCACGCTATATGAATATTCATTTGCCACACGCTTGAATTACGGATCGCGTCTGGACGACGGTGAATCGTTTGGACGCTTGTTGATCGTTTGAACGATTTCCTATTGTTTTCTTATACATACATGTGGCTATACTTCCTCTATGCTTATATAAATATTTGTAAATTACATGATAACAACGCGCCTGGAGGTTCCAGGGCGCGGTATGCACTAAGCGAGTTCGATTGGAATTCGCTTTGTACGCCGCTCTGTAAATAGAACTATGTCATGGCTCTAAAAATAGGGCTGAAATTTTCTTTGCAAAAGTGAAGGAGGGTAGCCTATATTCGCATTACAAATCACAAACTTTACATGTACTTCAAATATACTTTAAGTGCCATGGTAAGTCGGCGTTACATTCTGGCCTAAATATAAAATCAAATCTAGACCTAGGTAGGTAGTCTGCCTATCTTTTTTTATCATCGCGCACGGCTGGTTACTCACAATTTTCTGAGGCTACGCTCTACTGTGTCCCGTACTGTGTATACTATGCAGCAGTGCATTTTCTTTACTGTAAGTTCTACTGTAGGTCCTCCGAATCGAGAGATGTATATTTTGTTGACTAGTAAAATTTAGATAAAGACAATAACTTTAATTCTGATTTTTTATTTAACTGATCGAACTACAGAGTGCTCTTTTCAAATAAAACTGCACCGATCTGGAGGCCGAGCCTTGGGTGCAGAGAGCAGGGCCCAAAACCATGTGTGTAAACAAGTAGAGTACTGGGCGATTTAGAACTAGAAACGGGGTATAACATTATTTTTTTACAATTACTTTTTTTTAGTTGTTTTTCTTTCTCTCTTTTATACATTGAACGCACCACATTTATGTGTGCCGCTGAAACAGATGTGTATGTTCAGTTGAATAAATAAATAAATTACAGTAATATCGCGAGTTGTCAGTAAAACATTTACTGGGTAGGCAATGGTTTAGGATTGCATGTTTGTATGTCAAAATTTGCGGTGAAATTTGGAATTTTTGCAATTAATAAACCTTGTTTTATAAAATGTAAATATAATTTAGCTTAGTATAATGCAAAATTTCATCTACTTTGATCATGGACGTTTTCGGAGCATGGGTCTTCTCTTAGCATGTGATCACTTTCAACGGCAAGGAAAGCAATTAATTGTTGTGCTGGATGTTACCACAGATGCACAGGATGGTGATCGCGCTTCTTAAAACTGATGGTGGCCAGCGACTCCAGCTACGACTACATTGGAAATAACTAAAAAAAAATTGTATTTTGTAACGTTATATTTGTTCATTGATTCGTAAAATCACTGCATATTGCGAAAGTCTCACCTATGCTACTGAACATTGACGTCCCAGTACCCAACCGACTATTTTTTTTAGCATCGACCAGGGACTTCCCCTAGTTTACGTACTTCTGTCAGTTCTTGCACACACAGGCAGTGTACAAAGAGACGTTCACTAGCAGGTAAACAAGTCCGTACTTATGTATAGGGCCGCACAGTCAGTCGTATTATGATTCATTTTAGAGAGTCGTCTGGATGCGTTTTACGGTGCATCCAATCAGCATAGTTAAAAAGGGGGGGGGGGAAAGACCAAAACAGAATATCAGCGTCCAAACTGTGGGCTATTCAAACGGTGTTTTCAGACGAGTTTTGGTAGAACAATAGAAAACGCGTCTGATGTGTCGTCTGGAATAATTTGGCGATCGCGCCTAAGAAAACCATTAATAAAAGAGTACTATGATGAATGATGCTACTTTGTTACAGAAAAATTGCCAATGGCAAATATTTGTTTATAACATAAAACTTTTACGTTGGTACATCCTGCAAAAGACCTAATGATCACAGAGTAACAGAGACTGTATGGACCAGTACACCGGGGTAACCCCTTACTCATCTTGAAAGATGAACGACAAGATGACGAAAAAGTTGTTAAATTAAGGAAAGAAGAAGATTTCACACATTTTGGAGGTGGGTTTATACATGAGGATTAGCAAATGCAAACCATAGGAAGTCTCAGGCCTACTGTATGGTAAAACAGGCCAGAAAGCTTTAGCTTATTATAGCTACAGTAGCATCCTAAGGTAACCAGAATCTACAGTAGCCCAGGATCTAGACCTCACAAGCTGTATATTTACATTCTTTGCCTTTGAGGGTAATTGGTTTGCATTAACTAATAAAGTAATTACATTTTTTTAATCTCCATGAATCAGGCACTAATTTTTCATAAAATTAGACAAATGTTTCTTGTACATTACTCACAGAAGATATCATTACTAATTGGCATGTGATGCAATTATCTCCAGAATTTATCCAGGCAGTAGTGACTAGTAAAATTTAAGAGATACTAATCAAAGAATAATAAAAAAAAAAGAGCCAAGATACACGAATCAGTTACCGACAGGATGGCTGCAACATTTAAAAAAAAGTAGAGCATTTAAATCATCCTAAAAAAAAAAAAAAAAACCGGTTTCCTTTAAATAACACTTCCCTTTTGAGTAAAATATTTCAAACCACAAAGTCAATGAACCTACTGTAAAGTAAGGATCACATTTTGCAGTTGGAAGATATTGGCTAGTTCCTATTGCATTGCATGCATAGGAACTAAAAATATGATGATCGAATCACTGGCCAATAAGAAACTGGAAACTGCGCATACGTGTGATTAGTTGATGATAAAAACGCACTCAACTTGCTTGTAGATATCCGATAGCGGTATCCGGATACTGCTAACGGTTAGCGCTAACCGATCGGGCGTCCTCACGCTGGTGCTAACGGTTAGCTCCCGATCCGGATACTAGGGCTCTTGTGAGAACCAAGCTATACTAGACTAAACTACATAAATACAGGTCTCCCTCCAATTAAAGACAACTTTTGGGACCAGGGTCTCCATGGGTTTAGCAGCTTTTCTCTAATTAGAATAATAATGATAAAGGACTTTTGTTAATTTAAAACCACAGAAAAGTGGGTGTCTTTAATTAGAGAGGGACCTGTAATTGAATGCATGTTGTTGATAAATTATTTAAGGCATAGGGCCTAGGCCTAGCTATGTATAAAGTAATTTCATTTTACAGTAGTTTGGAACGATATCAGGAGTGGGGGTGGTGGCAGTGCCCTACTAGGACAATTTATTTGAAGCTATCTTTGGTCCGATCGTCCACACCAGTTAGGCCCAATCATCTGTCACCCGAAGTTTTCATTACGATGATCAAGAACGTATACTATCTAGGCCCTAGGCTAGGCTTAGATTGCTGCCGTCACTCTGCTACGTATACTACTACCGCATAACAAAGAAAGCGACCCACGCGGTGCATTCTTAAATTTTACACACATTATTAAAATGTATTAGACGTTAACGTGATATCACTGACTGAACGATCTACCACCCTCGCATCGCAGTAACTACTGTACTGAACTAGGCCTAGCTTTCAGGCCTCATGTTTTTGTGGAAAGTTAGACAGTCGTTATGTACCCGACAGTCAGCTGCCTTTATATCTTCACTTGTCTTCAATTTGCATTCAAAGTGTACATTGCTGCATAGCCAACTGTCGGGGATATAGTACCTTCATATGACTACTCATACAACAGAAAAAAACGTCGCATGGAGTTAGTGAAAAATGGAGATCTAAATGTAAAAACGATGTATTTCAGCTAGTATTAAAACCTTTTTGTTTTATTTTAGGCCTTCTTCAAAATACCTATGCCACAGCAGTTGATTTTTTTTGCCGTAAAACCAAAATAGTTTCATCCATGCCGACTTGCCGATCGTTTGGCATGAGCCCTGACTGAACTCTGCAGAAACTTCACATCGAACTTCTCATCGCGAGGTAAAACAAAATGTTGGAAAACTTTTCTTTGACGCATGCGCATTTGCATAAATGTCTACACACACGCACACACACATACTACACACAATAAAAAACAAAGGAAAAAGAAGAGTGATTACAATAGTTCCTATTGCATTGCATGCATAGGAACTAAAAATATGATGATCGAATCACTGGTCAATAAGAAACTGGAAACTGCGCATACGTGTGATTGGTTGATGATAAAAACGCACTCAACTTGCTAACCGATATCCGATAGCGGTATCCGGATACTGCTAACGGTTAGCGCTAACCGATCGGGCGTCCTCACGCTGGTGCTAACGGTTAGCTCCCGATCCGGATACTAGGGCTCTCGTGAGAACCAGGATATTGGGTACTCCACTGTGTTGAGTCCCGCCTCTTGGATATTGTTGCTAAGGTCACACAAAATAACTACATACGTAAACATGTATTTGTGGGACAACATGCGTGTTTGCAGTAGGTGAAGCGTAATTTTTTGCCCTGATTGGTCAGTTGTTAAGTCTGATTGAAACTGCGGAAAGGTCCATTTCCCCTAGAAATTTGCACTAAGCTTTAGAAAATAAAATGTGAATAAAATCTACAAGATTGGACATCCCTATTAATTACGAAACATGGGAGTGAAACTTATTAACATGTTATTGTAATGTTGTTTCTATATCTAGCATATGACTAGCTAAAATATGATACAGTTTTGCATACACATTCGTGTTAAGAACACTGGCACAACCACTTACCTGAACTTCCGAGTCGGGGTCAACCGGGGTCAATGGCAGCCACTGTTCCTTTCCATGGTGTCTGTGAAGCTCGTCACGTCTAAGCGCAACTTTACCCACAATGCTTTCTAACCTCTTTAGTAGCCGGTCTCTTTCATAAACATAGAATGCTAAGATACGAAATTTCTTAGGGACACCAAACTCGCACTCCTCTGCCCAGAATGGACTGGAAAACAAACATAATACAAATTCGAAAAAAAAATGACAATAATTCAATTTATAATCATTATTAAAATGAATACAGTCTTACATGGACAATTTAGATGAATAATGAAGTATTTGTTCTCTCAATATGTCCCCAATATTTTATACAGGTAGCTACAAATTATTAGCAGCCAATTTAGAAGTTAGATGCTAAAAATAATGGAAAGGAATTATTAAAATTGCATTTGTTTAAATCAACTAGAACTTTTATTCTTGTTTCCATGAAATATATAGTACACTGTACTGTACTTCAAAATGAATTTTCTCTTTTGGAAGTTTTCATAGCTCAACACAATCTATAAACTGAATAAGATAGTTACATAGAAACTATTGATTTTATCATTAAATAGTCTGCAATTGGGCACCAGCAATACTAAGCCATCAGACACTGTGACGCCACAGCGGTCATCACCATCTGTATGTCTATGCAGCATGTTATGCTTCACCATAATGGAGACAACTGGCTATGATGAGGAACAGCACCAGCTTGCAAGGAAGTCAGTCTCAACATCGGGTTCAGTGTATCTTTAGATTCACATCATGAGTGATTTTGTATTTTGGTGCCTGACCAACATGTTTGTGTTTTTAGTACATTTTGATGGTAAAATTTTAGATTTTAAAATGCCTATTTTAGAAAGCCTATGAAGTCATTCAGGCGTAATGAACGGTAACCAACGTCTGGTTGGCGACAGAGGGCGCCACCTGGCATTGTGACGACATGACTGTGGTACTTTATACAATGAGGATACAGAATTCCATAAGGTGCAGGATTGCAACACCTTTCTTTTAGATCTATGAAGACAAAATGACCTTCCAAATACTGTAGGGTAATATGCAGGCTCATTCAAAATGACGTGTGTGTGTGTGTGTGCCAACACATTGCATTACTACTCAAACTTTGTACTATACAGCACTGTACTACTATAGTGTAGTATCAGTAGTGCACAATATGTTACTCCCAATCAACAGCTGGTCAAGATGATAAAACATTATGGTTTAATATTCAGAAGATAGCCATACAGAAATATAAATTAAACCAATAAAAGATAGCAATAAACACACTAATATTATCTGATCATACAATTCGGCAAAACATCTCAAAGGTTCAAACAAAACCGACAGCAAATGAGATGTATAATAAATAGTACAAAAATAACCAACTCATTGTATGCAAATAACTTTCTAACCAACGACATGAATAATTCAATCAAATATAAATCGTTAATAAATCTCAATGCAATTAAGGTTAACCTTGACTCCTCAAGTCTCAAAGATTAATTACAAATTTCCGATTTGACAAACATAGCGTTGACAATAAAAACTCATCTCCGAAAATCCTTGTGATGCCTGAAACGTACAAATTTCAATTAGCTGAAAGATAATTGAAATAGTACAGCTTGTACATGTTTATGCCATGGGAAAGGGAATTCAAATCAATGAGGAAGGATGTTCATTGCCATTGGGAAGGGGTAAACCTCTCATCTTCACCAATCCTGGTATAAATTACCTTTATATTATGCAAGGAGATTACAAAAATATTACTTTCACACCAGCAATTACAAAAAATAGATTTGTTTACCATTCTGTTTTTTCTTGAGTAGCTGTACGATACACTTCTTCCTGATCAAGTTTAATACAACAATAATAATCTTTGGCAACAGAGTTAAGGTTTTTTGCTTCACCTGAAAAGAATAAATACAGTGAATGAAAATATATTTGATAGGTTGATACTAGGAACTATATAATGTCATTCAGATAATTTTTGACAAGGGAAGAGAGACTAGTAATAGCACAGCATGAAAAATTGTTTCCCAACCACAAGGTGGTGGATTCAACAGCTTGCTGTGCACCATTTTTGCATCCTTGAGCATAAATGTTCTACCTGCATTTGCTTTCTCTACCCAGGAGTACTGTATATGGGTAACTGGTGGGGTTGCCTGCCCATGCAGCAACACTTTAAGGGCCAAATGACCATGGATAAAACACATTTTAATTGAAAGGAAAGGGGCTACCCATCTAAAAATGCTGTGCACTAACATGACACCGGCTGTTCAAATGATAGCTAATAAATGCTTAAGGGCACCTACTTAAATATATGGTAAGCAATTCAAAATATTTAATTTTAATTTCCATGTTTATATTAACTTAAACGCAGAAAGTATCGTTATATGGGTGAACGAATGTATAGCATTAAAGTACAGTTAATGAGGTAACGTTTTGGAGTATACAGTAGTTGTGTATTGTTACATCCGTTTACTCACAAACGATTTAAACATTAAAATCTCTTGAATATCAGTTTCATTGAGCTGAATAGGATAAAGTTCATTGCTGAGTTTGAAAGTTCGTTAACCTTTCAGGAATAATGACAATACATTACAAGTCTTGACCAACTTCTCACCAGGATATGATCTCACAGATTGCCACACACATTTCTCATACTACTGTCTGAACATTTCTAATATAATTGTTTTCACTCACTTTTAGTTTAGAGAACTTTTTACACTTAGGATTTCGGTTAATGGAAAAAGCAGTCTAAACATCACTGTCTGGAGTCAAAATGTATTTTTAAGAAGAGCTTGGTATTGGTGCCCAATTGTGCAATAATCTAAACCAAACCACAAAATATATTACGGCTTGCAAGATAATATCAACCTAATTCCTACAGTACAACTATTTTCACAAAAAGTACAGAAAATTTGTGGTGTCGTAATTGTTTATTTTTCAATATATATACTGTAGTTGCATTGTTTTTCAGTGACAGTTGTATTAGCTGTTGTTGTCCTCGGTAGTTACAGTAACTTTATTCATTCATCCTCATGGACAAACACATAGTAAATGAGTCATTGTAGATGAAGGCCTCTATAGGATGACACAAGTTTCTATTTTCCTCATCCAGTTTATACCTAGTACACAAAGTTGAGAATCTCATCTTGTTGCCATCTCACTAACATATCTTGATACTGTATGCTTTGAAGATACCAAGACCTATACAATCATACAGTAAGCCTATGTTCACTGCTGAGTATTCAATGCAAAACAAACTTATTTAATTACACTAGTACTTGGAAAACATCTTCTACCTGGTACAGGTATTGATTAGTAAATCACTATTACTTTTAATTTGAAGTATTTATCATGGTTTTTTTTTCAATAATAAAATTAATTTTTAAAAATACTCATTTCTTTTTAACAGTTAGGGTTTTTACATATTTTTATAACTTTTTCTATTGTGTGCAATACTGTATTTATAAACCGAAATGTCCACTGATTAATATCAGATAAGATAGTATAATACATACTCCAAGTAACGAAATGCACGCCATCGTGTCGGGATTCAATATTTCGACATTTTAATATTAATTATCATTATGTCAGACAGGAATTATGTCATCATTCCTAATGATGACATAATTAATGTCGGAAGACACGATGGCGACGTAAGAGCCATGTCTGTACCCATACACTTCGTTTAGGCCTATGCATTTGACATGACCGACACTTACTCTTGATTATCAAAACTGTAGCAGCCAACACATTTTCTTTTTCTATAGCAGCAGCTTTGATGGTGTTTAAACAGTGCGCTTTTTTGTCATGTGATGTTTGTTTTTGTGATGTGCCTCTTGTTAAATCATGCTAACGTCGTGCTTGCGTCTTTGTAAAATCGTAGTGACGTCGAATTAAAATTTTGGTAATTCGTAGTACGTCGTCACAAATCGTAACGCTATCGTTATGATTCATAAAAATGTCGTCGCACTATCGCATTAGTGCCCTAATACATCTTGACGGTGTCCTAGTAGCGTCTTGATGAAACGTAAAACTTGACCTTTTTGAGTAGGGCCTATGAATCACTACAATAGAGCGCGATTTTAAACCTTTTTAAAATCGTGCTCCATCGTAGCAAAAATCGTGTATGTGGGAAAGGGGCATTAGTAAACTAATCTCAAGACAGACATGTCACTGTCAGTAAAACAAAATGTCGGAAAACTTTTCCTGAAAATGTCTACATCTACAAACACATACACACATACGCAAAAAAAGTGAATACAATAATTCCTATTGCATTGCATGTATAGGAACTAAAAAGTGATACAGTACTATAGAGTAGAGTGTGGGTATAGCATTATATTTAATGCAGAGGCTCCTCAGAAGCTAAGAGATAATCTTGACTATAGAGTATAGGGTCATTCCATGTCAAATCACCTATACAGTAGGTCCCCAAGTGACCCTCTTTAATTTCGCTCAAAATCCAGCAATGTTCCTTTTTATAAAAAATGAACAAAGTCGTTCTGAAATTACAGCAATCCAAAATATGCCATGCCCCCTTTATTTGCTTCAGCATTTCATGCCGACTTTTTTCCCTATATTGTAAAACCAGAAACATTCGCGAGTACTACGCCTAGGCTAGACAGGCCTACAGCCACTGTCTAGGTTACAGTGGCTGCCTATGGTAGGCGCCATAAGCAAACAAAATAGAATTTTCGATGATGTTAGGCCTGATAAACTAGAATTGCGAAGGTTTTGAGTATTTTGATAAAGAATTTAAAAAAGAAAAAAAAAAAAACATTTTTTGTAGGTATATTAGCTGTGTATACAGTAGTCTGTTATTATTTAGATAGTTGGTTTTTTAAAACCCCTGCAAACTTCCACACACAATAAATCTTCCAAAAAAACTTTAAAATGACATAAGAACATACCAAAATAATAAAATTTGAAAAAAAACCATAATGTACCTAACTTATCCCAATTTTTGGGTAAAACTATTATGAGTTGTATTCCTTTATTATAGTGATTACCATCATCTGCCAATTTATGGAGTTGCCTGCTAATAGCACTAACAACAGGAAGCTATTGATTCCGCCCGGAATGATTGTGGATTTGGTAATTAGCATTGATCACAAAAGCACATGTTTTGATCCGGAAACAACGATCATATTATGCTATCGGTTATGTAGAAATATTTCCGTTAATTTTCATAATAGAGTTTGGCTAGAATATGCACCCATTCATAAATTCCATGTTCAGTTTATAATAACAAACACATTGCCAAAAACAACAATTACCTGATCAAGGTTAATTTTAATATCTGAAGAAGAATAAACACTCATAAATTAACCCTTTTGTCTCATTTAAATACTTGAATTAATTCCTGATGATGACATAATTAATGTTGAAATATTGAATCCCGAAATGATGGCACGCATTTCGATACTTGGAGTGTGAATTAATTAGCTTAAGTTCTATCAATCCAGTTTACATTGTTTAATTTGTATAGGAGGTTGATTATGTTTATAGCTTCACACTCAACTTTAGAAGTGTACTGTGTGCATCAAAGCTAGTGTCTTGCCAATAAAACTAGTACTTCATGTCCAGTGTTTTATTTACTAATTTCAAACTAGTATGGCTCATCTATGTTTACTTTATATATTTATTAGTCAATAAAATTGAGATAAATTATGTATTTTTTGATAATCATTATAATTCCACATTAATCAAATTAAAGGCTGAATATCGAATGCATTGCATATCTTTGATTTTTTTTTTTTGATTTTTTTTTTAGTGTTTGTGTTCTTCCAAGATAGAATATTTTCTAGAAGAACTTAAATATCAATTCAATGAAAATAATATTATTACTATATGTTTGCCAATTCTCAATAGAACACAGGTGGTCATATCTATTAATTGGTGACAAAAATATTATTTGAAAGCTAATTACATTTAATAAAAAAATAAATATAAAGTAAACAATTAATTATTTCTATTGCACAGGTGTTAATTTATGAACAATAATGTTTAAACATTAATATGGGAACTCAAATAAATATATATATATAATATATTTTATTAAAACATAATTACATTTTACATAAATATTTGTTTTATATGTCAATATAGACCATAAACAATTTACAGTATTAGTGTCTATAAAACAATTATTACTGTAATAATAGATTTGGAAGGCAATAATAATAAATTTATTAAATAATGTAAATTAATTAATATTTACTAAAAAAACAAAACAAAACAACTACAGCCACAAACTGTATGATGCAATTTTGAAATATATTTTTATGGATGGGATTGGATTGGATTTATTCAGTTTAAAAACCAAGGATAGCCCCAGAAAGTCTAGAAGAAGACTTATTTCCAGTGGGGTCCATATTATGTCAGTTTCACAAATTCTATTCTGCAACTTTTTTCAATTCAGAAAACAGTAGCAAGAAAAGCAATGGTTTTACTGAAATGTAAAGTTTTACATTCTAAAATACACAACATCAGTAACCCATGGAAAAAAGAGTGAAAACAAAGGGGAAATGACCATGGAAGACTTTTTATGATAAATAATAATTGTCAATAATTAATAATTGTCATTCAACTTAGAAATTTTGGAAATTTGGGCTGGGCTACTAGGGACTCATGGCAGCCATAATGCAGTGCCACCCAAAATATTACAGTAAGTACAGCATTAGACAGACAAACATCTTATTAATTATAATATACTATTATTATTTAGGCGCACAACACATGCACCAAGGACTGTCAATATCGAATATCACTCTCCTACTTGTAGGCGACAATACAAGACAAACATACTGTACACACACACACACACCCCACACACAAATATACACAAACTAAATCTCAATATGAGGTTTAGAGAGTGCAGTCGTTTTGGTTGTGAGAA